AAAAAAAAAAAAAAAAAGGCCATAAATAAGGCCTAAATTAAATTAACTGTATACAGATCAAAGTTTGAAAAAAGAGACTATAACTGAAGTAAAACTTGCTGAAAATCTACTCTCTCATCCATCTGTCATATGAGGGGTTTGGACTGAATAATCTCTAAGCTTCCTTCCAGCTTTTATATCATAAGGGTCTAACTAAAATAATATTACTGAAATATTATGTTTTAGCATGATATAATTGCATAACAACTATGAATTTCCCAAAATGAAACAGACTAACCTCCCACAGCATGTAAAATAACTTCTGGAGCACAAGTATCCCACTTCTTACATCCAGGACTTGCAAATACATAAGCAGAGGCTTTGCCTTCAATCAGCTGAATAATCTGTAAGGGTAAAAATAAGAACTATCCTTTGATAATTGAAAGAATAATAGAAAGTCATGAAAAGATTGAGGTACAGATAAGAAAAACTGCTTGTTTCTATCATGGATATTTAATCGGTTCCTCTATTAAACTTAGGTTAAAGCCTTTAGCAGATTTAAATTATACCATAATTATGAAGAAATACAGAGAATAAATGCATAATAATATAGTGATATGGAGAAAATATAATGGTCAAAAAAGCTACAAAGAGGATATATGAACTATTTCTATATTCCAAGTTACATAAAATAACATGTTCCTTTTATTCATTTTTTTAGTGTAAAAGCAATTACATTTATTGCAGAATTAAAGTTTTTTTAAACATCTAAAAAATTGACCATTATTAGAGGCTGCTCTCGGTGGCTCACTCCTATAATCCCAGAACTTTGGGAGGCTGAGGCAACTGGATCACTTGCAGTCAGGAGTTTGAGATCAGCCTGGCCAACATAGCGAAACACCATCTCTACTAAAACTATAAAAAATTAGCTGGGTGTGGTGGTACACACCTGTAATCCCAGCTACTTGGAAGGCTGGGGCATGAGAATTGCTTGAACCTGGGAAGTGGAGGTTGCAGTGAGCCAGGATCTTGCCATTGCACTCCAGCTTAGGCAATGAGAGCAAGACTTCATCTCAAACGAACGACAAAAACCCTTCTGTTTCTTTTTCTTTTTTTTGAGATGGAGTTTCACTCTTATTGCCCAGGCTGGAGTGCAATGGTGCGATCTTGGCTCACTACAACATCTGCCTTCCAGGTTCAAGCAATTCTCCTGTCTCAGCCTCTCGAGTCACTGGGATTATAGGCATGTGCCACCACACCAGGCTAATTTTGTATTTTCAGCAGAGATGGGGTTTCTCCATGTTGGTCAGGCTGGTCTTGAACTGCTGACCTCAGGTGATCCACCCACCTTGGCTTTCCAAAATGATGGGATTATAGGCATGAGCCACTGTGTCCGGCCCCCTTTAGTTTCTTAAACTCCCATTTTTCATTATTGTTAGTAAATGCCTTTAGAAAACCTAAAAATAATTACTTCTAATGCATAGGTGAGGACAAATAAATTCCATTCAATTCATTAAACGTGTATTACCTTCCCTGTGCTACACACACGTGTGAAATACAAACGTATCAGGCAGTACAATATATGTAGTTCCATATCACTAGAGCTGAAGTATGAGTTGGATGATGGGAAATGAGGCTTGGGAGGGTCCAAGGACCAAGATATAGAAGGCCTTACAATTCTTGCTAATAGGCTTCTATTTTAAATTGTGATGGGGAGTCATCTGAGGATTTGGGCCATAGGAGTAGTTTTGCATTTTTAATTGGAAGACTGGATTGAACAGGCAGACCACTTTGGAAGCTATTGGAACAGCTGGGTGAGGGATGATGATAAGTTTCAACTATAGTAGCAATTGATATGGACAAGAGGAGACATTAGAAGTATTCAAGAAGATATGTAAGTAGGACCAGATTGATAGGATGTGAGGGAGGAATGAAGGAGTCTAGGATGACTTTCAAGTATTTGGCTGGATCAGTTAGCAAAATGGTGGTGCCATTAGCCAAATAGTAAAACAGAGAAAGGAACACTTCCAGAGGTGGGTAGAAAGAGGATGAACTCAAATTGGACACGCTGAATTTGAGATACCTGAGGGATGTCATAATGATGATATCCAGGGGACAATCAGATGAGAAGAGATCAGGGCTAGGGATGTAGATCAAATTGTGTCCCATTTCATAATTCTCTCAGCAGGTTGGAAACCTGGATGAATGGGGGAAATAGATAGGAAGTGGGCAGGCAGGCCTGAGCTTAAGGCTCCAGAAGGTCTAGGAAATAATCTAAGAGGGTCCTTGGGAAAATAAGGTCTTTGGCAAGAAGCATGAGTCTTATCCTGATGACTTTTATTAACACTGAACTCTCTCAGATAAAAAAATAAAAAAAAAAACTTGACTTAAATTTATTTTTAAAATTTAAATACTGCTGAAATGTACAAATTATAATCCTTACTCCCATCTCTTTAAACTCTTATTTGATGTCTTTAAAAGTTCAGTATTTCAACAATTCACTTGCATTTCAGAGCGGATGACAGACCTTTTTCATACCTTATTTCCTGCTCCTCCTACTCGCAGCACATCGTCGGGGTTCATGGCAGTAACACAGTCAGTAACCAACTTGTTGCTATGGGATCGGGTAGTTGTGATAATGTGTTTCCCAGCAGGGACTTCTTTCAGCTGAAACCCAAAGGCACCTAAACCTAAAACTCCCCAGATTGTCCTCCCCAACACAGCATCTGGTCCCGCCTATGTAAACAAGTGAAACAACAAAACTTGTGATTATTTGGAGAAGAATGTTAGCCATAGATGGAATATTTCATATTAGCATCATGATTAAAAAAATAAAAACACAATAATTTTATAAAGTACAAGAACAGTATCACTGACAAAGAATTTTTCCTGAGAGAATCTACCAATTATTATGATTATTGTTCTGGTTAATAGTTTCAAAGAACGTTTGGTTTGCCCATTCTGAAAGTAAGGGAAATAGAGAAAAGAAAAAAAAGAAAAAAAAAGAATGTTTGGTTATTCCCTGGAATCCTTATAAACTGATTACTGGTTATAATGTATTGAAACATCATAAACTTATTACTGTTTCTCTGAATCATCTAGTGATCTCTTTGTTGTATTTGAAAGTGGCCATTTTCAGAAGGTACTAAGATCCCCAGGAAATGAAATACCAGGCATTGATTACTACTCTTCATTATCCACGAAATATTAAAAAGCATGTTGCTACTGGAATAGGTAATGATGACAATGTATTTTACTGCTATGGAGATAGGGCAACTGAATAGGCCAATACAATATTGATGAAGTAGGTACTGTCATCCTTAAAGATGAGAAAAATGAAATATGGAATAATTAAGTAATCTGGGTAAAGGCTCTAGGAAGTTTATTACCCAAAATTGGCTCATCTGTCTTCAAAGATGGTATTCTTCAACACTAAATTAGACTACCCAAGTTTACTTGCCAAAATGTCGTCAAACACATCATCTTATTTGTTCTACAGCAGTACCCTGGGTGCTTTATTGTGAAATATGCTTGTGTTGCAGGTTGGGTTCCCTGGGAAGCAGGCTCTGAGACAGGTGATATGTTTGTTAGGAAATGCGCTTGGTATCAACACCTGTTGAAGGAGGAGGGCATGCGCAGAGGGAAGAAATAAACTGTGATGCAGGCACAAGAGCTGACCCTATGGGGAGCTGTTCCTATGGTAGCTCTGGAGCTACGACAGCCCTTCAAGGTTGTCCCAAATTGGGATGAAATGGCAGCTCTTTGAACTCCTGCAATAATCAGTCACTGGAAATGGACTGCCTTGGGAAGAGGTGTGGCCCTGGGTGAGATAGCTCTCCGAAGATAGGGCAATCCCAAAAGAGTCTGACGGCAAGTGTGGCAACAAAAGAGCCAAAGAACAGGCACTGGGTGCTCGGTATATGTTAATGTGCTTCTTCCGTTCCCACCTGCATTTACACTACAGGAGAGGCTTGGAATCTGAAAAGTACAGATGGCCTCTATTGCTGAGACTAATTCTATACTCCTAAGAAACCTATTTATTAATGCAGTTATTCTGGAAAGGAAAAAAAAAAAAAGGAAAGGAAAATTAGCTGGCCGTGGTGGTGCGTGCCTGTAATCCCAGCTGCTCAGGAGGCTGAGGCAGGAGAATCGCTTAAACCCGGGAAGCAGAGGTCACAATGAACCAAGATTGTGCCATTG